GTCAAGGATTGTAGGAACAGAGCACTCAGAATTGGACTAAACGTATGTGGTCTGAAATCTGAATAATACTGGAGGCTCAGATTGTCAAACGTCCGCCCTTTAGTTGAAAGACAGTCAGTGTCCATATAGTTATTGAATATGACGATTTTATGACTGATTGGGGAAGGGTGTGTAGCAGAGGTGAAGAGAGAAATAAGGTGGGAAGACTTTTGGAAAACTTACCTGAAAATTTGGCAAGAGAGCTGTTGAGAGTCCCTCGTCATTAGTAGACATTGAACATTAACCTGTGAGATATGTGAATAGCTCCAGGAAAACTTTTATGGTTGTGTAACAAATAAAATAACAAAATATGGGTCCAGCATATTGCCGCCTTTAAAAACTAACAAACACAAACTAAGCAGTATGATACATTCATATAGTAGAATACTCCAAAGCTGTGGGAAAAAAAAAGCATTCAATGTAATGACCTAGAAAAAACCTCTAAGATCTACAGTTAAGTGGAAAACGCAAAGGCACAGAGAAATGAATATTCTGGGAGAAAAAGAGGAGTAGGTGGGAGGAGGAAAAGTAAGACATACTGGGCAGATAAATAAGAAAGTAGGGATTACTTATGGAGGAGTGGAAACCAGGCATATGGGGAGCAAAGAAAGCGAAGCTTGACACTAATAAACCCTTTATCCTTTTTAGCTTTTAAACACATGAAGATATTGGCGGCTCAAGAAATAAATTTTTCAGGGTAGCATTTGTTAACATTTTAAAGTAATGTTTGTTCTTAAAATTACACATTTCTGAATGATGGAAACAATAAATGAACTATTTTTTTTTCCTCTTCTCTCACCTTTTAAATTGTAATATAAAGATCATTACATGACAAAGAAGAAACTGGTTACAGAGCTTAAAGACACAAAAGATTTTAGACAGGACTTCCATTCAGGGACATCTGGATTTTGTGCAACCACGCAGAACACTTCTACTGGCAACTCAGATCCTTGTCTTCCTTATTCTTGTGAATTGCCTTTATGTTATTTTTCCTCAAAATGTGCATGTTCATCAGGGCAGCATATGGACAGGGCATCAGACTTCTCTCAGGATGGTAGAAACCATGCTGAAACAGTGGAACATTGTATGTACAATGACTCTTTGCAGAAGATACAAATGAAACCTTTTAAAAATTCGTTGGCTTGCCCTGGTGCACAGAAGGCTATTACTCCTTCAGAGGCAGTTGACAGATTTATGCCTAGGACAACACAACTGCAGGAGCGGAAAAGAAGAAGAGAAGATGACCGTAAAATTGGAACTTTTCTCGAAACAAGCACGAGTAGTAATGAGGTTATGATTGGGCCTCTGTTACCAGACATACCTAAAGTGGACATGCATGACGACTCGCTGAATACAACAGCGAATTTAATTCGGAATAAACTTCAAGAGGTAAGATCATTTATAAAAAACTTTTTTAAGGGCGCCTGGGTGGCTCAATCCTTAAGCGTCTGCCTTCGGCTCAGGTCATGGTCGCAGTGTCCTGGGATTGAGCCCCACATCGGGCTCCTTGCTCAGCGGGGAGCCTGCTTCTCCCTCTGCCTGCCTACCTGTCTGTCTGCTTGTGATCTCTCTCTCTTTGTCAAATAAACAAAATCTTAAAAAAAAAAAAACTGTTTTAAGAGACCGTTTGGTCATAGGGACTAACAGCTAAATGGAGATTTGTGGCAACTAAACTATTGTCATTAATTTTCTTCATTTTCTTTTTTTTTTAAGATTTATTTATTTATTTGACAGAGAGAGAGAGAGACAAGAAGAGAGGGAACATAAGCAGGGGGAGTGAGAGAGGGAGAAGCAGGCTTCCCGTGGAGCAGGGAGCCCGATGCGGGGCTCGATCCCAGGATCCTGGGATCATGACCCGAGCTGAAGGCAGACGCTTAACGACTGAGCCACCCAGGCGCCCAATTAAGTAGTAATTTCCTTACACGTTATTTATGTAATCATTTTCCATTTTCTAAGTACAAATGAAAGAAAGCTAACATTTGAATTAGCTTTTGAAAGATACCTTTTCATGGGGCAAGCCTTTTAGAAATCTAACAGGGAGAAAGACCATTCTCCTAAACTTTAACTCTGAGGTTCAGAAAGTGCTTTTCATGCAGTTGTATATGTATTTTACAGTGTGATGAAGGGAATCTAAGGTGGCTTAATTTATGTGTATTTTTGTTACCTGAAAATTATTATCTGATTAAGGGTGAGGCCTTATTTTATAATAAAAATCTGTGAACACAATTTCCATACTTAAGCCTCTTTAAATTTTTTAGTTTGTGCTGGCCCCCTTCCTTCCTTCAGATATAGTTGAACTGAGGCATAGATGCAGATACATAGCTCTCTCAGCCAGAACTGACTATATTTTCAAGAAAAAAAATTGTTAGGGGACGTCTTGGTGGCTCAGTCGGTTAGCGTCTGCCTTCAGCTCAGGTCCCAGGGTCCTGGAATCGAGTCCCGCATGGGGCTCCGTGCTCCATGGGGAGCCTGCTTTTCCCTCTGCCTGTGCGCTTGCCCACACTCTCTCACTCTTGCACGTGCTCTCTTTCTCTCTCTGACAAAAAAATCTCAGGGGAAAAGAAGAAAGTTGTTAGGTCCAATTCCTAGATAAGGAAACAGTAGAACAACAAAATTGAGAAAAATTAACTACAACTTACTACAGTTTCTAATAATTGTGCATCTAAATGAAGACTGTCATAGTCTGCTTTAACTCATTGTCCACTCTTTTTCTGATGGTGTGTTTGGTTTCCCTTCTCTAGGAAATTGAGGATTATACCATTTTCTGCTTATTTCTCCAAATTTCTCATCTCCCCTCTCAAGGCTCCATGTCTCTAAATACATCAGATGTTATTAGTGTTTCGAGTTACGCAGAATCAGGATGTCTGTCTGTATCCATAAGATAGCAAGTGACTTCAGATCTATAAAGGATTGTTAATGTAGAGTATGTATTTACATTTCTCTCTTCAGTTTTTTTTTCTTCTAAATGGCTTTAGAAATTTTACTCCCGTCATGTTTGGACAGAAAACTTTGTGCCTAGATCGTATGCTGTACCCTGAAATTGGGCTCACTCTGCCTCAAACGTGAGGGCAAGAATTGGACTACTAGATGTATATCCTACCTCTTCTTTTTTTTTTTTTTAATAATTTTTTTATTGTTATGTTAACCACCATACATTACATCATTAGTTTTTGATGCAGTGTTCCATGATTCATTGTTTGTGCATAACACCCAGTGCTCCATGCAGAATGTGCCCTCTTTAATACCCATCACCAGGCTAACCCATCCCCCCACCCCCCTCCCCTCTAGAACCCTCAGTTTGTTTTTCAGAGTCCATCGTCTCTAATGGTTCGTCTCCCCCTCCGACTTACTCCCCTTCATTCTTCCCCTCCTGCTATCTTTTTCTTCTTCTTCTTTTTTTTCTTAACATATATTGCATTATTTGTTTCAGTAGTACAGATCCGTGGGGCGCCTGGGTGGCTCAGTTGGTTAAGCGACTGCCTTCGGCTCAGGTCATGATCCTGGAGTCCTGGGATCGAGTCCCGCATCGGGTTCCCTGCTCAGCAGGGGGTCTGCTTCTCCCTCTGACCCTCTTCCCTCTCGTGCTCTCTATCTCTCATTCTCTCTCTCTCAAATAAATAAATAAAATCTTTAAAAAAAAAAAAAAAGTACAGATCCGTGATTCATCAGTCTTGCACAATTCACAGTGCTCACCATAGCACATACCCTCCCCGATGTCTGTCACCCAGCCACCCCATCCCTCCCACCCCCCACTACTCCAGCAACCCTCAGTTTGTTTCCTGAGATTAAGAATTCCTCATATCAGTGAGGTCATATGATATCTTTCTCTGACTGACTTATTTCACTCAGCATAACACCCTCCAGTTCCATCCACGTCGTTGCAAATGGCAAGATCTCATTCCTTTTGATGGCTGCATACTACCTCTTCTTTTTTATTTATTTATTTATTATTTTATTTATTTATTTTTAGAATCTTTTGTTTATTATTATATCCTACCTCTTCTAGTAGTTTACTTATTCTTGTACTATAAAAACTAATTTTGGTGGTTCTCTTTTTTTTAAACTAGGTCATTTCATCTGTGCCAAAACCTCCAGAAGACAAGCTAGAAAATGTGCATACAAGTCGTCCATTAAAGCAAAGAAGAAGAATATAGACTGTCAGCAGCAAATTCTGTTTTCTACAGGACTCTTTATTTTTTATTTTTAGCCTGTCGTTTTAATTGTTGAAGAGATTATACTGCTGGTATTTTTTAATGCACTCTTTGTAATATCATCCAAGGTACTTATCTAATAAAATTTCATTTTTTAAAATTAGTTTATCATGGACAAAATAGATGCCAGCCAAATACGTTCCTTAAAAAAAGAAAACTAAACTTTTCCAGGAGCTCCACCCAGTGACTTTGGTTACATCTTTTTGGCTAGAAGTGGGCTCGTGGCCATTCCTAAACAGGAAGTCTGGCATTGTGAATGTTTACGTTTCCAACTTCTGTGGATAAGGAAGCAAGAGAAAAGAGGGTTGTGAAAGGCTTATTCACAGTATTTGCCACAAGAACCAAGCTTGTTGGCTAACTTAACAAATAAAATTAGTTTATCATCATTACTTATTATAGGTGTTATTTTGATCATACTTAATATTGCAGAAACTGGGGACGCCTGGGCAGCTCGGTTGGGCGTCTGCCTTCAGCTCAGGTCATGATCCCAGGATCCTGGGATCAAGTCCCGCATGAGGCTCCCTGCTTCTCCTACCTGCCTCTGCCCCCTGCTTGTGCTTTCTCTCTCTCTGACAAACAAATTAATAAAATCTTAAAAAACAAAAGTTACAGAAACTGTTCTTTTAATATTACTTTCCACATCGTAGTAGTTATATGTAAATGAAGTGAAGCAAAGATAAAAACTTTACAATGCAAATGAAGATAAGCAGTCAGGATCTGTTTCTGATTTTAATATAAGTATTGAGTGATTCACATTCCAAAACTAGAAGTCAGGATATGTCCGAATGCCAGGGCTTCAAAATCAATACAATTCTGTAAAGTAAAAAAGGTAAACTATTAGAACAAAGCTGAAATTAGAAGCCTACATTCTTCAGTTAACTTGTAAGAAGAATTTGCTTATCTTGGCAGAAATGAATCTGTATTTGTAAATGCGAGACTGCTAACCACTACTTTTAGCATACCCACGTTGCTTTTCCTGTCAGTGAACCACATAATTGGAAATTGGAACAAGTATGTTCAGGCAGTTGCTATTTTTTTTTTTTTTTTTTTTTTACTGATAAAAATAACTTGAGAAGGCCCATACCAAATGGTGGTCTGTTTTTCTTTTCTCTCTATACCTAAAGACCTCTTGCCTATTGGATTGAATTTGAATATACCAGTTAGGAAGGTTCATCATCATTTATGACCTACTGATACAAACTTGCTGGGATGGCTCCAAGTGGTGGATGGTTTTAAAAAGAAGCTGCAGGCAAGGGGTTTGGCCTTACTTCCTTGTAAGGTAATTATTTTTCTCTGCTGAACTGTAAAAGACACCTTAGAGACCCAAGCATAGAATTGGAAAGAGCAAGTTACTGTCTAGAACATGCTTCTCAGACATTAAGATGCTATGAATCTCTACCTCAGGGCCTTATTAAAACGCAAATTCTGATGGTAGTGGCCAGGAGGTGGAGGGTGGTGGGAATGCAGAATTGTTTAAAGGTTTGGAGTTTCAGTTTTGCAAGATGAAAAGAGTTCCAGAGACTGTACAACATTGTGAATGTACCTGAAGTTACTGAACTGTATGTTGTTTTTTTTTAAGATTTTATTTATTTATTTGACAGACACAGCGAGAGAGGGAACACAAGCAGGGGGAGTGGGAGAGGGAGAAGCAGGCTTCCCGCCGAGCAGGGAGCCCGATGCGGGGCTCGATCTCAGGACCCTGGGATCATGACCTGAGCCGAAGGCAGACGCTTAACGACTGAGCCACCCAGGCGCCCCCTGAACTGTAGGTTTATAATTAGTTAAGACAGTACATTTTATGTTAGATGTATTTTACCACAATTAAAAAAAAATTCTCGGAGAATTTTTAAATTCTTAAAGGGAGGAGCTGCTCAGTGGGTTCTGTGTTGTTGAATGGATTTCTGATCTTTTCAGGATCTTTTCAGTGACTGTGTGGAGGCTAGCATGCCTCCCCGTCCCCACCAACATACACAATATTTGACCACAATGACAGAAAGTAGAACCTTTGCTGTGTCAAGCATCAAAAGGAAGGAGGGAGGGAGGGAGAGGAAAGGGAGAGGGGAAGGAAAAAGAGGAAAGGAAAAAGGAAGGAAGAAAAAAAAGATTCTGAGGCATTTGGTTTGGGGTGGGGCCTGAGATTTTACATTTCTCACATGTTACTAGGTGATACCATTGCTGCTCATGCACAGACTACACTGAGTAGCAAGGCTCTGGATAACTGGGCTACTGAATTCTGGGAATTAGTTGGTGTTCCATCTGACCTAAGTAGTTTCTCCATTCCAGTCCATTCTGTACTGTTCCCCATCAGTCTCAAAATGAGAAGTCTGCCTTTCACACATTGCATTTTACCACATATTTCCAGGCAGAATTAAAATGTGGGAATAAACCACAATGGGACAAATTAGAGAAATGAGCTGAGATAGCTCAGGAGAGCTTAACATCATGCAATTTCATGCACAAAATTGCCATCCAAATTACTACAGAGAATAAAAAGTTTCTACAGGTTTGCAAAGCAGTTGATCGAAGGAAGAATTAAAGAAAATATTAATGTGTTAAATCACTTATTAGGCTGGCTCTTCTGGCTCAGAAAACTTGTGTCAAATTCATCAGTGAAAAACCTTCATGAGCACAAATACTATAAAGTACTTTAAATGTGTCCAAGATTTTTAAAACTTAATTATTTTCATTGTTTGACAACATTTGGGTTGAAAGAGACCAAGTTTTGTCCTAGCAGTTTATGGTGGGTACTTGCTGAATACACCGTTCAGTGTTCTATCCCTTAAGCAAACCAATATACCCTAGTTTTCTCTGGGAAAATAATATTAACATACAAGAAATCAGGAATTGTGTATAAGCTAAAGAAGTTACAAGCTCAAAAAGTCTGTTGAATATAATAAATAGTCATTATTGTTGGGCCCCAAAGCATTAGGATGGAGCTGAGACCCTCACGTTTGCCTGAACTGCAGCAGTGGGCCAAAACCCCTACAGAGGTGAGTTGTCTAGCAAGTACTACTTTCTGATCCCTTAAAATTTTCTCTTAACCAATTTGAGCTGTTGGCACTGTACCTCTGCTTCTGGTAAACATGGTCCAAACACCTCCAACAAAAGTCTCTCTTCTTTTACTGCTTTTTCAAAGTCTGCAAAAGATATTTTGCCATCGTTGTCATAATCCTAGAGAGGAAGGTGATTTCTTGATAAATGATAGTTTTTAATTTTGCCTGGAAAATAACTCTTTGCCAAGTAAAATTATTAGTTACACTTCTGTGGACACTACTTACGTAAAGCAAAAGGTACTTTTTATCAAGGCTACTTATCTTATTCCTGTAAGTCTATTTGGAATACCTGGTATTATAGGCTGAATGTTTGTGTCCCGCCTGCCTCCGAATTCACATGTTAAAGCCCCCAGTATGATGATTTTGGAGGTGGGGGTCTTTGGGAGGTAATTAGATTTGGATGTCTTGAAGGTGGAGCCCCCAAGATATAATTACTATCCATGTAAGTGGAGAGAGACCAGAGCTCCCTCTTTCTGCCATGTGAGGACACACTGAAGTGGTGGCTGTCTACAAGCCAGGAAGAGAGCCCTCACCATGGAAGTGAATTAACTGGCACCTTATCTTGGATTTCCCAGTCTCAGGACTTTTTAAAATTTTATTTTTAAGTAATCTCTACACCCAACATGGGGCTTGAACTTACAACCCTGAGATCAAGAGTTGCATACTCTACCAGTTGAGCCAGCCAGACGCCCCCTGCCCAACCCTGCAGTCTCGGGATTTTGAGAAATAAATTCCCATTTAAGTCACCCAGCCTGGTATTTTGTTATAGCAGTCCAGGAGGACTAAGACACCTGAGTTACTTCAACATAAGATATAACCCTGTCCCTAAAGGACTTGCACTCTAATTGGGGGAATAAGAAAAAAAATTAGAGGACACATATTATTATATTGCTACTTTTGTGATTAAAAACAGTGCCATAGGGCAAAGATTTTCAATTTTAATTTGTAGTGGTAGAACTTGTTCCTCAAATGATCTCTGACTTGGGAGCCCATCATGTGAAAAGGATAAAAGTGAAGTTGCTCAGGTGAGGAGCAAGGCCCTGAGAGCAGTAACAGCTCAGGATGGACTAGAATCATGAGAAGATGCTTGCAGACCACTGGGAGGTCTTTCAGGATGGTTGAGACGGCCTTTAGGTAGCCAGAGCGGTATGGGGAGGAAATGCAGAACAATGGCTCAACCTGAATTCTGACAGTATGAGGGAGTGTAAGTCAGGAAGAAGACAGACCTGCCTGGAGTGTTAACGACAGGGACTCTGGGAGATTAAACGGGGGGAGACCATGTATGTAAATTATAAATGCCTTTACTTAATTGAATTTGGGTTTGATTTGATGGGCTCTTGTTTTTTCACTTCTGGGCATAACTAAATCAGGGTTGCTGAGAGTCTTAGAGAAAGATTTGAATAATTATCAGAAAAAATTCACTCCATAATATTTCTTTTCAAAAAAGAAGAGAGTGGGTTTAGTACTGGGAAACATACTATCTCTCAAGAAGTCTACCCTCAGCCCTAGCAGCAGCTAGTGAGAGTATCTCTAAGGAAGAAGATACGCTAGAGTCTGTGTTAGCTGAATGTGAGACTCAGCAGCCCCCATCATCTATTTCTTTCCTGATCCACTGAAGAGTAATGGAGGTGAGCTGGGTCCAGGCTGCCTTAGAGTCACAAATTTTCACCGGTATCCAGGATGGGGTCATAGTAAGAAAAGGAGAGAAATTACTATGTTCATAATAAAGTTGTACTATTGGTTTCATTGAAAGAATTCTGCACCCCATTTTCTAGTGTGACCTTGGGTAAACCTATTTGTACTTCAGTTTTCTCATCTGTAAAACAGAGATCATAATTTCTACTACATAGGGTTGTTTTAAGGTTAAAATGAGTTCATATATTAAAGTTCTGTGAAGGGTCTGGCATATAGTAAGTACTCTATAAGGGACAACTATTTCAATTATTATGTTATCTTGTTATAGTGTTTCAATGGATTGGAGGGCGAGGGTCATGAAGACAGATGAGAGTAACATCCCATTTTACACAAATCAGATCTGGCGCACTTCCACCCACACATTAATGAGGTTTTATGGATAGTAAAACACTTTGAACTAATTAACATTCATTTTGTGCGGTGATTCATTTAATCACCCAGGCATTCCATAAGTATTTATTGAGCACCCACTATCAGCCAGGCACTGTTCTAGGCAATGGATGGAGCAGAAAACAAAACAAAAAAAATCCCTTGCCCTCATAAAGGTTGCTATCATTATAGAGGGAAATAAATCACGTCTTTGTCTTTAGCTTTCTCCAACATCTGCTTGATTGGATATAATAAGTTATAGGTTTTCATTCTTACCATTTTCTTCAGTGTTATATCTACCAACTCTTTTATTCCTTCATCACTCTCTTCTTCAGATGACTGTTGGCATAGACTGTTCTTCAACATGTCAAATATCTCTTCTCGAGAAATGTAACCGTCACCATTCAAATAGTAAACTTCAAAACAGACTGTCCAAAGCACAAGAAATTTAAAGACTTGGATAAGAACAGTTAAAATATCACTAGTCTTCTCCTTAGTTATTTCAATATATAGTTTTTTAAAAGATAATTTATACAGCCTATAATTATTGGTCCATATGATAGAGAGATTTTAAAATAAAGCACCCTTTATTATACTTCTTTCCACAGGATTAAATCCCCCCTTGGATGTGGATTTTGAAATTGAGAGTTCAAAAATGTTATGAAACCTGAAACCATGAAATTCCTAGAAGACAACATAGGAACAAAGCTCCTTGGCATGGGTCTTGGTAATGGTTTCATGGCTATGACACCAAAAACACAAGCAACAAAATAAAAAAGAAACAAATGGGACTATATCAAACTAAAAAGCTTCTGCACAGTAAAAGAAACCATCAACAAATGAAAAGACAACCTGTGGAATGGGAAAAAATACTTGTAAACCATATCAGATAAGGTGTTAATATCCAAAATATATTTTTTATTTTTTTAATTTTTTAACATATTCATTTCTTTATTATGTTATGTTCATCGCCATACATTACATCATTAGTTTTTGATGTAGTGTTCCATGATACATTATTTGCGTATAACACCCAGTGCTCCAAGAACTCCTACAATTCAATAGCAGAAAACCCCAACCCAATTAAAAAGTGAGCAAAGGACCTCAACAGACATTTCTGCAAAGAAGATAAATGAAAAGTCAACAGGTACAAGAAAAGATGCTCAACATCACTAGTCATTATGGAAATGGAAATTAAAACCACAATGAGATACCGCCTCATGCCTGTGAGAAAGGCCATCATCAAAAAGAGAGCGAGAGAGAGAACAAATGCTAGTGTGGATGTGGAGGAAAGGGAACCCTAGTTTGCTGCTGGTGGGATTATAAACCAGTGCAGCCACTCTGGAACATAGTACGGAGGATCCTCATAAAATTAAAAATAGAACTGCCCTATAATCCAGCAATTCTACTTCTGGGAATATATCGAAAGGTAATGAAAACACTAACTCAAAAAGATATCTGCACCCCCATGATCATAGCAGCATTATGTACAATAACCAAGGTTTGGAAATAATCTAAGTTTCTATCGATCAATGAATGGAAAAGGAAGTTGTGGTGTATATATATATATATATATATTCATGTAATGGAATATCATTCAGCCATTTAAAAAATGAGGAAATCCTATAATTTGTAACCACACAGATGGACCTTGAAGGCAGTATCCTAAGTAAAATAATTAAGACAGGGAAAAACAATACTCTGTGATCTCCCTTATATGTGGAATCCGAAAAAACAAAAACCAAACCAAACGAAACAAAAAACCTGACAACAAACTCATAGAAAAAGAGATCAGCCTTGTGGTGACCAGAGGTGAGAGGGTTGAAGGAAGGGAAATTAGAGGAAGATGGTCAAAAGGTACAAACTTCCCATATAAGTTAAATAAGTACTAGGGAAGTAATGTACAACATGATGACTAGAGCTAACGATGTATGATATAGAGAAAAGTTGTTCAGAGAGTGAATCCTAAGAGTACTTGTCACAGGGAGAATTTTTTTTTCCTTTCTTGTCTTTTTTCCCTTTTTCTTGTCTTCTTATTGTATCTGTATGAGAAGACAGATGTTAGCTGAACCTATTGTAGTAATCATTTCACAATATATGTAAATCAAACCAATCTGTATTGCCTTGAACTTATACAGTGATGTATGTCAATTATTTCTCAATAAAACCAGAAAAATAAAAGAATTTGGGAAAAAAGTGGTTGACAAAGATGCAGATTCCTGTTCACATGTACCTAGATTGGAGAGGAAACAGTTACAGATTGGATATCAGAATGAACTTTGTAAGAAACATTTGATATTGTCTTCATAATTAAAAAACAAATAAACAGAACTCCTCATTGAGATAGCACAAAGTAAGAGTCCAGATTCCTTGGTCGTACCAGCCCAGGGAATGCTATTTTAAAATGTTATCCAGGTAAAACTGTATTTTAAAATGTTCCCTAGGTAAAACTGATGTAGCCAGTTGAAACCATTCCTCAATCCATATTGGAGAATCAGTCCTATAGGTACTTTACAACTAACTGTATTTTAAAAAGCAGCTCATTGGAAATTTACATATTTAAGATGTCTTGAAGTATATTTAAATATACTACATTATCTTATTTGGTGACTTGTTTCTGGTATACTTTGAAATCAATGAGCTTAATTTAGGTACTTGAAACTATTTATAAACAAATAATATCTTCTGTATTCAAAGAGATATCATCAATTCCAACTTGTAAATATTAATAGTCTCTTTCCTCTTCTCTGTCCCCACTGTTATTTCCTAGATAACTTCAACAATCTCCTCAGAAACTCCCTTGCTTCCAACCAGTATTTCATTATTTATTATAGTTGATTCACAACTGTCCTCTGTGGGAGTGTTGGGGAGAGGAAACTGATCCTATTTGCTAAGATTCAATTTTAATGATATATGTTCAACTCACCTTATTAGCCCCACATCTCGATACCAATTTTCCCAACTCAACATGCTCAGTAAGGCATCCATGCTTTCATTCCTACTGTTCCTATGTCTAGCATGGTCTTTCTATTTCCTTCTGCTCAAGATTTACAAGAACCAACTGAAAGCCTAGTTATTCTGTGAAAGTGTCTTCTGACCTACCAGACCCACTAGAAAGAACTTTCTCATCACTCCCATATAGTATTTTGAAAATACATAGATTTCTAAGCAATCCCATTATATTGTGGTTATTAGTTTATATGTATTATGTGACCCAGAACTGAGCATCTCCTGTAGTAGAATGATTTCCTGGGTGTTAGGTAAAACACAAATAAAAGATTTTTATAGACTTTGAAAAAATGTGATGAAACTGCAATAAAGGAGATATATAAAAATACTTTTAAAGTAAACTCTACACTCAACATGGGGCTCAAACTCACAACCCAGAGATCAAGAGTTGCACGCTCTTTTTTTTTTATTTTTTTATTGTTATGTTAATCACCATACATTACATCATTAGCTTTTGATGCAGTGTGCCATGATTCATTGTTTGTGCATAACACCCAGTGCTCCACGCAGAACGTGCCCTCTTTAATACCCATCACCGGGCTAACCCATCCCCCCCACCCGAGTTGCACGTTCTTCTGACTGAGCCAGCCAGGTGCCCCTGGAGATAGATATTTAAACCTATGATCATTCAATACATACATACTCGTGTATACATACATGTGTGTGTGTGTATCTCAATATTATGACTCTCTTCTTAAATAGAGTATAAAAACTAAGTACAAACTTGATTACATAACTGACAACATTTTTCAATATATTTGGGTAGTGAGTCTGTCATCCCCTTGGAGCCTGCCTATCTGCACTATCCAAAATGATCTCTGTCTCCCTGGAGAGTGACTTCCATGACTTCCAACCATTCATTCATGCCACAGATGACCTTCCTCAGGTGCTAAACATACAGTAGAGAAGGAGCTTTTCTGGAGTTTGTAATCTAGTTAAATGTTTTGGCAAAAGCAATAGAACCAAGTATAAAATTCCAGAGTATCAGATTAGCTGTGTCTTTTTTGTTGAGGTACTTTAATCCATAGCACACATGCAGCCCAATCCTATGAGAAGTAATATTCTTCCCAAGTTAACATATCCTGAAATGTATATGAAACATTTTTAGGAAAAGGGATTGGAGGAGGAAAATTCTTTGACAGTGTGATGCTATTCACTCATGTATAACAGAACTTAGAGTCACAGTCATTTTCCCTATGTACCACAAGAATTTACATCCATGAAAACTTAAGCTTTTCACTTCTCAGTGAGACTTTTGTATAAGAAAGCTGCAACAAACTTAAGTGGCAACTATATTTAAATGTTACCCCCATGAAAAATTAGACTGGAGAAAAGCTAAGGGAAAGAAAAGCCCCACAGGGACACCTGCCTGGCTCAGTGGAGCATGCGACTCTTGATCTCAGGGTTGTGGGTTCAAGCCCCATGCTGGGTGTAGAGATTACTTCAAAATAAAATCTTAAAAAAGAAACCCCACATAATGTTGTATATTTCACCTCAATAAAAATAATTAAGAACCCCCCCCCCACAAAACAGAGAAACAAAAAATTGTAAATGTCAGAGAAAGTTGGTGGTTTTTAAAATTGTTGCTATTGTTTAAAAAATGTGTGTTTAATGTAGGGATCTTCTTTTCCACGTCCCAAATCCAAATTCAGGTGGAACAAGGGACAAAAATTTGCTTACTTACTCGGAACTCCACAGCCTTTTCTTAAGCAATTTGACATGTTAAGCAATTGTTCCCTTGAAGAATGCCATTTAAAACTGTTCCTATTCTTTCCAGGTTCCTCACCCCAAAACCTGGCCCCAGAGGTATAAAACATAGCAAATATACATCACACCAATGGTACAGGCGAAGTGAGGCCAGAGCTATTTATTTTTAGGCAAAATTGTGAATAGGGAAACTTTTGTCTTTGGAATTCCTAACATTCCTGTCCTGTAGGAAACCCCTGTAACCCTTCTCCCTGCAGGGCCTGTGGGCATTCTTTGTCCTCAACCTTCTTCCCTCTCTTCACTCATCTACACAAATTCTAACACTAGAGTATTTATGTCTTATGGTTAATGTGCGTTTCATCTTGTTTTGTATCAATCCCTCACATCTTTTTCTTTGATCAAGAGACAAGGAATGGCCTCACTGTGACTTATGCACTGCCCTATATCAAGGCCCATTTCCTGCTGAGCCCAGAGGCAGCCACAAAAACCTTGGCCTTGCTGGCTCATTAGAGTTGGCATAAGCCCTGACCTTGACTTGCTGGTCTTGGCCTGGGCCTTAAGCCAAAGAGTTGTCCTGGTGACATTTAGGCATTACAGACCCAGTGAAGGAAGTGTTGGGGGTCCCTGGGTCTAGGGACTCTCCCATCAAACAGGCCACCCATTTCATGTTTTGATTTTCTTTAAAACTGTCATGAACTATTTTTGAAAGGTTGCTATAGAGAACATGGGTTTTGTATTTTTAAAAAAATGTTTAGGGCGCCTGGGTGGCTCAGTTGGTTGGGCAACTGCCTTCGGCTCCGGTCATGGTCCTGGAGTCCCGGAATCGAGTCCCGCATTGGGCTTCCTGCTCAGCAGGGAGTCTGCTTCTCCCTCTGACCCTCTTCCCTCTCGTGCTCTCTCTCTCTCATTCTCTCTCTCTCAAATAAACAAATAAAAAATCTTAAAAAAAAAATGTTTAAGCATTCACTAAATACAAAATTGACAATGTATATTACTAAGTCAGTAATCACATATAGAAATCTTACACTTAAGCTTTTCTTCAAAAGTCCCTCGAAGAAACACTGATAATCCTTTAACCCACTCTTTCGCATTTATGCAGTTATCATTGTCTTTGTCAAATGCAAAAAATACTGAAAGAAAAATACCGTAGAAGCATATTGCAATTTACAGCTATTTTATAATTCAAAAGTATATAGTATATATGAAAAGATTTTTATAACTTTCCTCCAAAACAAAAACAAAAACAAAAAAACACACCGATAAACTTTTCTCCCAAATTGAGGGGAAAAAAAGGTTTTGGCACAGTCTTTCTTAAAAGTCAAAATTACTAGAAATATGTTTCCCCCAGATTTTTGTAGAAAGAAAAGAGTAATTCTCCTTCATGATCAATGATGAACTTCACTTGTGATGTTTTGTACAATTACTATGAGCCAAGAAAGAGCAACAGTGGAGCTAATCAAGATGATGATAATTTTTATTTTAAAAAGAGTTGGCAGGCATGCCTGGGTGGCTAGTTGAGCAGCCAACTCTTGATTTTGGCTCAGGTCATGATCTCAGGGTCCTGGAATTGAGCCCTGCATCGGGTTCGTGCTCAGTGGGGAGTCTACTTGAGATTCTTTCTCTCTCCTCTCCCTCTGCTCCTCCCCCTTCCTATGCTCTGTCTCTTTCTCTCTCTCTAAAATAAATAATCTTTAAAAAATAAATAAATAAAAAGAGATGCAAAGGGGGTACCTGGCTAGTTCAGTTGGTAGAGCATGTGACTCTTGATCTTGGGGTCATGAATTTGAGCCCCACGTTGAATGTAGAGATTACTTTAAAAAATAATAATAATCGGGGTGCCTAGGTGGCTCAGTCAGTTAAGCGACTGCCTTCAGCTCGGGTCATGATCCCAGGGTCCTGGGATCGAGCCCATCAGGTTCCCTGCTCAGCAGAGAGCCTGCTTCTCCCTCTCCCTCTGCCTGCCGCTCTGCCTACTTGTGCTCTCTCTCTCTGTGTGTCAAATAAATAAATAAAATCTTTAAAAAATAGTAATAATATAAATAAAATGCATTTAAAAAGAGTGGCAAAATTCTGTTCTAAACAGTCTGTATAAATACCTAAAGATATGGGGGCCTGGGTGGCTCAGTTGGTTAAGCGACTGCCTTCAGCTCAGGTCATGATCCTGGAGTCCTGGGATCGAGTCCCGCATCGGGCTCCCTGTTCAGCAGGGAGTCTGCTTCTCCCTCTGACCCTCTTCCCTCTCGTGCTCTCTATCTCTCATTCTCTCTCTCTCTCAAATAAATAAATAAAATCTTTTTAAAAAATACCTAAAGATAAATTACTAAAATAACATTATTTTAAAAATTACCAATGAAATCTTAATATCCTATAGAAAATAAAGTGTTATTGACTCTCTTAGGGGTGATGTTGATTATTTTGATTATGATTATGGTTTCAAGGTATACACCTACATCAAAACTTATCAAATTGAACACTAAAAATTTGTTAATGAAACTGGATCACATTAAATAATTTCCTATTTCAAATATAAGATCTTGTCTTTTATTTTTTTAGCATAATGAGTAATTATCATTTTTTGTACTGACACAGTATTTTTAGGAGGAAAAAGAAGTCATTTAATAGTTTACATGTCTACAGCATATGAATCCAAAGACATCAGGAATAAAAAGCCATATGCTTAACTTAAAAAAAAAACAACACAATATTGCCAGCTTATTTAGTTCATTACTGGTTATTTCTCAAAGTGGTACAACTATGAGATAAGAAATTCTGAGTGAGTTTTTGTTAAAAACAATCCCCACAATCAAATCAACCTTTGTTTTATGTTGGCAGTCTTACCACAATTAAGTCTTTCTAGCTTGGCTTTGAAAAATTCAAGGGGCGCCTGGGTGGCTCAATCGGCTGAGCGTCCAACTCTTGATTTTTGGCTCAGGTCATGATCTGGGGGTTGTGGGATCAGCCCCCAAGCTCCTGGAGGGGTTCTGCGGTCAGCACAGAATCTGCTTGTCCCTTTCCCTCTCCTCTGCGCCCCCCCGCCCCGGGCTTGAGCTCTCCCTCTAAATCAATCAGTCTTTTTATTTTTTATTTTATTTTTTTTAAAGACTTTATTTATTTATTTGACAGAGAGACAGCGAGAGCAGGAGCACAAGCAGGGGGAGTGGGAGAGGGAGAAGCAGGCTTCCTGCCGAGGAGCGAGCCCGATGTGGGACTTGATCCCAGGACCCTGGGATCATGACCTGAGCCGAGGGCAGACACTTAATGACTGAGCCACCCAGGCGCCTCTCAATCTATCTTTTTAAAAAAATTCGGAGTCTTTGATGACAACTGAATACATACATATATACATATATAAATTTGTCATTACAAATGTATATTTGCCACATATTAATATTGCCATCTCAGCTTGGCTCATTTCAATTTCTTAAGACTCTTACCCCTATTCATTAGTATATCATTAGTCATTCCAAATATGCTGTGCAGGATCGCTCGAAACGCATTACGATCTAGTCCAAAATTGTTAAGTCTTACATTAGCTCTTTCCACCAAGCTGTGAAAAAGTATTAGGAGACACTCTACTTCACTTTTTTTGACTGCAAAATAAAAATACAAAGAAATACAGCTTAGACTTAGTCCTTGAGTACTCCAATCTAATAAAAAATACTTTACTAAGCAGCCCTTTTGTTCCTATGGTGCTAGATGCTCTAGCGATTAAAAAGTATGACATGACTTGTTACTTGAGGGCTTTCCTTTCTGGGTGTCACCCAGAAGTCTCATAAGATAGTATGTAAATGAAAAATTATGTAATATTAACACTCACAATTATAGACATGTAAAGAAAGAGAAATCAATGTGGGAAAGAGGAGCTGGCCCATTTTCATGGGAGCAGACTTTGAACAGAGACTTGAAGAATGCATAGCATTTATACAGGAAGGAATGTGTTGGGGGTAGTACAATAGAGAATTACAGGGAGAGAAAACATGGGTAAAGGAAAGAAGTAGAATTGCGGTTGGGTTTGAACATGGTTTATTGGGAGCACAGCAAGTTGAGAAGAGAAAAAACAAGATTGAAGATGATGGGCTAATGGCAGACGGCCTTGAAAGCCTAGTCAGAAAATTAATATTTACAGTTGACGTGAACCACATAGGTTCAAACTATGGGTCCACTTAAATGTGATTAAAAAAAAACAACAACATAGTGCAGTACTGTAAATATATTTTCTCTTAAGATTTTCTTTCTTTTTTTGAGAGAGAGAATGGGGCGGGGTAGAGGAAGAGGGAGAGAACCTTAAGGCTCCACGCCCAGTGCCTGATCTCACAACCCTGTGATCACGATCTGAGCTGAAATCAAGAGTTGGAAGCTTAACTGACTGAGCCACCCAGGTGCCGCATTCTCTTAGCATCTTCTTAATAACATTTTCTTTTCTTTAGCTTACTTTAAGTATACAGTATATAATACATAAAATGTATAAAATATGTTAATTGCCTCTAAGCAAGTTCAGTAATAGGCTACTGGAGTTAAGGTTTTGGGGAGTCAAACACGGATTTTCAACTGTGTGGGGTTGGTGCTTGTATCCTCCACGTGATTCAAGCATCAGCTGCATTTTACTGGAGCAGTGATTTTCTCATGGACCATATTTGGACCATCTGTATGGGAGAATCAACCCCCTCTCCATTGTTTGTTTAATCCAGATTCCCATGTCTTGCCCCAGACCTACCAAATCAGAATCACTAACATCAGGCGCGGGAATTAGCTTTTATTTTTTATTTATTTTAAGAGTTTTATTTATTTGAGAGAGAGCAAGTGGGGAGGATGGGCAAGGGGAGAGGGAGAGCAGGCTCTCCACTGAACAGAGAGCCTGACACGGGGGTGATCCCAGGACCCCAGGACCATGACCTGAGCCAAAGGCAGATGCTTAACTGACTGAGCCACTCAGGTGCCCAGGAATTAGCTTTTAAACAAGAGGTGCGTTGACTCTTCTAGGCCTTAAGGGTTGAGAAATGGTTTAGGAAAATTCATCTGGCAAAATTATATTTAAGGGGAAAACTGGAAGCATAGAAGCCAGGCTTGGAAGCAATAGGGCTTTGGTTAGGGAGGTGGAAATGAGGTCAGAGAGTGGGAAGGGGCTGGAGATGTTAATTTTCAAACAGAAATTTCCAATATTCATACTTAGGTTTCACTCTAGACTTAGGAAAAGGGTATTTTTAAAGAAGTGCATGGATGATTCTAATGCATTGTCACGACTGAAAATTAAAGGATTAGATTTAGTGGGTTGGGGGTACTAAAGTGCCTGGATTCCACTTCTGTTTCTTACCTAAACAGCGGACTTAGACAAGTCATATAGCTTCTTTATGGCTCAGGGTCCTCACCTATGAAACTGGGTATTGTCCTAGATGATCTCTGAGATTCTTCCAGTTTCTAAAAGCCCAATTCTATGAATCAAAGATTATTTGAAAGAACCAGAAGAGTTAGGAAGGAAAGCTGGTTACTATCTCTTTTTTCTCCTCCAACCCCCTCCTCCTTTTTTTTTTCTTTTTATAGGGAGAAATTTTAGATGCTGTCTTTGAGATGATTTCATGTCACCCAACTGAAATCAATGACAACACATAGCACACATGCAGTTTGCAACATTATGTTTTCTACAATGGTCAGAATGATTTGGTTCTTAGGAGAATGGTTGACAAGTTTGAAGAATAAGCAATTACAAAAGTACCTACTAACACTGTTTTATGAACTGAATTAGATTCTCAGGCTCCACAGTGTAACTATAAGTCCTGAAATACGACATAAAGATCATTTTTATCCATCCAATAGGCATTAATTAAGAGCCCCCTGTGAACTGGGCAATGAATACACCATGCTTCCTGCCCACCAAGTTGTTACACTTTGGCTAAGATATAAAAAAGTACAACAAGGTATGACAAGCACTATGATTGATGGTGTTTGGAGGTGACTCAAAGGAAGGAATAATCAATTGCGGGAGGCAGTAGGAAATTAAAAGTCCCAAGGAGGTGTCACTTAAGCTAAGGCCCGTCAAAGATAAGCATTTGCCAGAGGAGGCAGCTTGGAGTTATGTTCTGAGAGCTAGCTGCAGATGATTTGGTGGGGCTAGGTAGCAGACTTGACTTTAGAGACAATGACGAGTTTCTGAAAAATTTTGGCTGGCAAGTTAACAGGATCATATTTGCACTTAAGGGAGAACACTTTATTGTAGTAGATTCTTGAAACTACCTTATGAATGGTGAGTTCAGATGTAACAAGGTTGTCTTCCTAAAGACAATTTTAACAGTCCATCCCATCCCATATGCTCTTTGTACAATGATTTTGATATTCCTCTGAGAGATGGAATCTCTCCTTTACTTGAACCTAGGAGGGGGTAGGGTGTGTGTGTGGGTGTGTGGGTGTGTGTGACTGTTTCAACCAGTAGAGCTCAGTGGAAATGAGGCAATGTGACTTTTCAAGGCTAGGTCACGGAAGGGGATGCAGCTGCTCTGAGGACAAAAACTTGAAAAGCCTTCTTCTTTTTTTTGAGTGTGAAGAAAAAGGAAGCTCAGGTGTGGATGCACTATGTGGAGTGCAGAGTATGTTAATGATTGCCTGAAAGTAGTCCTGCTCAATTCTGAGGGAGAGAATTATCAATGAGTGGAAATGTTAGCACGAACAATGTGAAAACAGATCCCTGAGGAAAGGGAGGTTTTGAGTCAGGAGCTGCTCTGAGTCAAATACTAACAAGTCATTCAACACAGCTATCAGGGATTTTAGGCACAATCTTCAGCAGGTAATAACTTTTTTTGGGTTTTATCCATGTAAGCTCACATTTCATTATACCTAAAACCTTACTCATGAGGTCAAGGAACCATTGTAAAAGATATGTGAAAGATCATAGGTAAGGAGAATGGTGAGGTGCTAGAGATTGGCCCATGTTATTTAACTTCATTTTGGAATAATTTTAGATTCACATAAGAGAAGCAATGATGATAGTTTGCATAAAATCTTCACTCTCTCCCTGTTAACACCTTACAGAACCATGGTACAGTTGTCAAAACAAATACACTAACATTGGCACATTAACTGAACTACAGATTTTACCCGTTTCCCACTAATGTCCTTTTTGGGGAGGTTCCAGAATCCAAGCCAGGATATACTTGGTTGTCACGTCTCTTCAAATCTGTTAGTTTTCAGTCTTTTGTGACCTTGAGATTTTATTTTGCATTATGTTCCTCAATTTGTGTATGCCTAATGTTTTTCTCATGATTAGACTGTGGCTAGGTGTTTTGGAGAATACTAGAGATAAATTGCTGTTCTCACATGTCAGGGGATACATATTAACAAGGTTAACTCCTGATAACTTTGATCACTTGGTTTAGCTAGTCTACAGGGTCCTCCACTGTAGTTACTATTTTCCCTTTCCACAATCTATTCTTTAGAAGCCAACTGGTCAAGTAAAATGGAACTCCACTTGTTGGGAAGGAGTATTGATACTATTATTTGGAGTTCTCCTGAAAGGACGAGGTCTTTTCCCATTTACTTAATTATTTATATCACTATGGGGGAGGGGTGCGGTCACATATACTTATAATAATTGTTAATTTTCTTTTTTTTTTAAGATTTTATTTATTTATTTGAGAGAGAGAGAATGAGAGATAGAGAGCACGAGAGAGAAGAGGGTCAGAGGGAGAAGCAGACTCCCCGCCGAGCAGGGAGCCCGATGCGGGACTCGATCCCGGGACTCCAGGATCATGACCTGAGCCGAAGGCAGTCGCCTAACCAACTGAGCCACCCAGGCGCTCCAATAATTGTTAATTTTCTTGCTCAAATTATTCCAGTTTTGGCCATTAGGAGTTTCAGTTGGCTCTTGTATGTTTCACATAGCACAATCCATTGGCTTTTTCACCTCTTTGCTTCCTAGCACTACTTGCCAGGCCAATCTCATATCACCCCTGGGTGAGATAACAGGAAATATATATATTGGTCTCTGCCCCTGGTTCCTGACACATAGCTCCCAAAACTCTTGGGATTTCCTAACTCATCTGAGCAGTAGGAGCATCTTTTGTTCAATTTAGTCATTGACCCTGGTTCTTAACACAAAACTCCTAAATCCCTTGGAACACAAGGGGTGATAGGAATCTTTTGTTCTAATGAGTGACTGCTGGTGGCTCCTGGATGGGAGCCGGCCACCAGAAAGACCAAACCGTTGATTGAAAGCCTGGAACTTTGAGCCCCACCCCCTATTCTGCAGAGGGGCTGGATATTGAGTTAATGATCTATGATGGCTATGTGATGAAACCTCTCTGAAGACCCCCAAAGTACAGTGTTTAGGGAGCTTCTGGGCTGGTGAACATATGAAGGTCCTGGGGGAGAATGGAAGCTCCATACCCTTTTCCACACACCTTGCCCTACGTATCTCCTCCACCTGGCTCTTCCTGATTACATCCTTTTATAATAAATCAGTAATCTATTAAGTAAACTGTTTTCCTCAGTTCTGTGAGCTGCTCTAGCAAATTAATTGGACCTCCAATTTATAGCCAGTCAGTCAGAAGTGAAGATAACAACCTGGACTTGCTTGTGATGGGCATCTGAAGTGGGAGATAGTCTTTTTTTTTTTTTTTTAAAGATTTTATTTATTTATTTGACAGAGAGATAGAGAGAGCACAAGCAGGGGGAGCGGCAGAGGGAGAGGGAGAAGCAGGCTCTCTGCTGAGCAGGGAGCCAGACGTGGGGCTCGATCCCAGGACCCCAGGATCATGACCTGGGCCAAAGG